ATGGCTCCTGCTTATACTCTGATTTGAATCAGCTTACAATAAAAAGTGATTACCATGGCTATAACAAGAATTACGAATAACACTAATGAAGGCGCCAGGGAAACCTCCAGTAAGAACGTATAAATTTAAATATGAAAGGCTTTCCCAGCAGTGTAGGATTTTTCTCTTCTCCACGGCGTCCAGACCGGTTCTGGGGCCCACGCAGCCTTCTATCCAATAGGGAAACTTGGTGCTCTTTCCCCGGGGGTAAAGCGGCAGAGCCGTGAAGCTGACCGCTTGGCTCCATATAGTGCTGAGGTCAAGAAAAGTGGAGCTATACTTGTCCAATTGTCTTCATGGTATAGGTAGAGGTAAAGCCAACCCTGTAACAGGCCGCTGATATCCATAGGGTTGTGAGACGTCGACGCTCCCACATTTAATAGACAATAAGCTCAGAGATGGCGATGAGGTTGTCAGTCTTACGCGCCGGTCGGCCGCCCTTTACCCGCAGGAAGATTCCTGTTACTCCTTTCTGTTAGAGGCTGAGTCTGATCCAGGGCCATAGTGCGGCTGGAAGGATTGGGTGAATTGAAAAATCCAATGACCTCATTGGAAATCGAACCCGCGACCTTCCGGCTTGTAGCTTAATACCTCAACCAACTACGCTGCCAATATGCTATGCTATGCATTTTCTTATAACTCATTTCTTCTGGTGTCTGTAAATATGGCGTAATGTCAACTTCTGAGTGAAGGGACTTTCCATTACTTGACTATAAAATATCTAAGCGTATTTCTTATTATCAAAATATTATGTAATATAGTTCTGCTGTTATGATGTTATCCTTACTAGGTGAAGTGCTCAACTGTTTACATACTGTTGATACATAAGTTTGTATGTGGTTGTCCTTGTGCATGCTCATGATCAGAAGTAATTTTCTTTTCAATAAGGTTTAAAGCTGTGTCAGACAGCAACTGATTGTTTATAGTATAAACCAGAAAACAGTAGAATAGAAATCAAGGTAGTATCAACGAATAACGAGAATGAATGAAGAAAGACTTCTCGAACAGATTCTGCGATACAGTCTATCTGGGAGATTACCAATAGTAGACGTACCTGTAGATCAAGACCGGAAGACCTCTTGCTTTTCCCTGTTGATGGGAAATGTCCAAGAGCCCTGAACCATGTGAATGATTGTGGTGAATCGTGAATCTTACAGACATTTGAAGTATATTTCCTTCTACGATGTGATGTTGTGAAATCTGGTAGAAATTAAATGATATTTCAAAGGCACTCACTGCATCCTCTTCAATTGCAAAGGGTAGGCAAGGCAAGTAGCACAAAGAAGCGTCCAGAGAGAGCGAGAAAGAAATAACCCCAGATCTTAATTTATAGACATTACGATGTAAGTATGACTCTTTGGATGGCTCATCAGCACTTCATATGAACTCTGCCTGCACAGGACAATACAAACACAGAAAAATGCTGACATGTATCCATGCCCTGAATGGGATTAGAACCCTCAGTGCCAGTACTTGAACGCTAGATGAAAGTGTGTCAGGCCACTGTGATGGGCATATTTGTTTTTGCTTGCCACATTCAATCACTTTGAACAGAAATCACACTATGAAGACGGATGTCATGAAGACACATTTTTACTCCATTTCATTTCGTACACTAGGTCGTGTTGCCAGTACAAACCTCAGCGGTCAGGTGGTGTATAGTATTCATGCATCTCCGTCAAGTCATGGTTTACATATTGTGGCATGTAGACCCGTTGCTAGGCAACGACCTCGAAATAAGCAGCCATATAACAGCCATTGCAGGATAATAGCTCTGTAAACAACGACCGTTGCTAGATAATGGCTGTGGCAGAAACGCACACAACAATGGAAGAGCTGTTGGGGCGGTGTTCTCTGTGCAGTTTGTGCGATGGCTATATAACGAGGGCCAGCTAAAGTTAGAGGAGAGTCTTGAGACAGCAATTAGAGTACAAGTTTGGTGTGAGATGGCCGTCAGACTGCGATGACATGAGCCCGGGAGAAGGGAAACGTCTACTGAAAAAACTTGATTCTTGCCTGTGAATTAGCCATAGCGCTAAAATTACTTGTTGCTATGATCTGTAAATGTTCAAGAAATTCAATTACGAATCAAAATCCAGTCCATAGTGACTCATATGCGCGACAGTATCAGTACTTACTCCTTGGTTCTATGATCCTCTACGAATCTTCATCTCCTGACAAAAAACGAAAAGAAGTAATCCTGTACACTCATATTAAACCTGAAACCTCACTAACCTAAATTTGCACAGTGTCACTTCGTAGTAATTACTCATCTCATTTGTGAAAAGAGGCTGGAAGCTTGAAGATGGGGTTTGAATTAAAATAGGAGAATTATGCACACGGTTGCTGCTAGGATTCTTACCGGGTGGGGGGCATTTTACTTTTAAGCGATTTGAAACCATTGTTACTGATCACCATAGGAGTATTATGAAAAGACTGAATTTAAAAAATTAACTGTGGCAGTGATATTTAGCATACTTCGTTCTTTTTTCGATCTTGATTTTTCTCAAAATCCAGTGGGTGTAGATGCCCCCCCCCCCCCCGCCCCCGGGGTTTTGCTTTTGCGGTCGGGCCATATATACACCTTCACCCGGCTTTGNTGAAGATTGGCAGGGGAAACCGAAGTACTCGGAGAAAACCCGCCCCAGCGCCACTTTGTCCACCACAAATCCTACTTGACCAGACCCGGGATCGAACCCGGGCCGCCGCGGTGGGAAGCCAGCGACTAACCGCTTGAGCTATGGCGAGACCTTATAGTTTAGTAGGAAGGTAGCGGTGATTTGTAGGAACCCGCTTCATCCATCTTCTAGCAGTCCTAAAAATGGAGGCGAGAGGTGTCCCTGAAATGTTAGTACAGTTCTACCAGGCTACATGGCGTCACTTTCCGGAAGGTACTAATAATCTTCATATTCCTTGCAGAGAGAACCTCAGATTTCACACTCACTTCTTTGCTGTTTACAGTGGACTGACGTTTTTGTGCTGCCATCTCTCACCTCGTCCTGGAACCGCATGGTTTCAAATCAGTGCGACTGCCTGGGCTTTCTTTTTCAACGCTACCTACCTCCAGAAGTTGATAAAGCATCGTCAAATAGCCTTGTAACTCAGTGTACAGTATTTGTATGAAAAATATTATGCAAGAACCAAATGCAATGATGTCAGAGTCCATTGCTCAAGGCAGTGATGGCGACTCACCTATACCTGTCTCACTGTGTCAACAACAAACACCGACTCTAGTGTTCTTAGCTATTACAAATACAGGACTATGTTGTGTATTATGTTTTGAAGTAAACGAGAAAGAAGCGATCCAGTCCAGTGCTGCGTGGAAGAAAACTGTTACCACTGAAACCATTTCGTAAGGTAAGGCGACTTCAGCTTCATGCTGCGTGTGACTTTACCCTTGGGGTGGTTAATAAATTTACTGTCAATTATTTACACAAGTTTTCAATTGTCAAAGCCTTTAATAAATTACATCAGCACTTAAAGTGGATTTCAGTTAAGAATAAGTTAAAATTGTTCCAGTATTTTAACACCATTCCATGAAGATGTGCAGGGGAACAGAAGTAAAGCTTAACTGATCCTCAGCCTCTACATTGGACGGACGAGAGCCGAGAAGCCTCGGGATCCATTGGATAGGAGGCTAGGTAGGCACGAAAGCTGAAAATGCTACTGTGCAGAAGAGAAGCTTTTTATGCCTCTGAAAGTTAGACGTTATAGAGAAGAGAAAAATACTCTTACCCCTGCCAGGGATTAACCCCCGATTCCTCGGTCGACCAGCCGTAGCGTAGTCGCTACACTCACCGAGCTTTCTCGGCTCTGTTAGCTTTGGTTATATAATAAATTCCTACGGTCTTGAATTACTGCACTGCTCTTTTCACAGCGACGCTAATAATTTAGTGGGTGTCTTAATTTTTGGGCGCTTTCAAAGAATACGAAAAGCGCCTATTAGCTTCGACATGTATGTACGTGTATGTATGTCTCGCCGCCATTAACACCTCGGACCCCGCTGGATGGATTTTCGTGACATCTTATTTTGAGGAGTAGTTGTGAAATCTGTCGTCGTAATAATTAAATTTTGGTTAAAAAAAATCTGACGAAAGTAACGGACAATTTAGACGAAGATCTAAACGCGTCATTCGGGATTACCGGTTTCTTATTTGCCCGCAGTTCGATATTCTAAAATTTAATCTGTTTCCGTCCTCAGGTGGGGGTGGGAGGTGGTGGAAGACACCTACTCTGTTGGGCCAGTTAGAAAGAGCTAACCTCAATCACTGGACAAAATCCCAAAACCCAGTAATCCCGAGTTCTATACACCATTATGAGAACCCTTTAGAATCTGACTAGCTTCGCCATGTTTGTCCGTCTCGTCCAGCAACGGACGGCAGTGGTTATGTGGGCAAGGGAATGAAGCATTGAAAGAAGAGTGTCGCCGCTTTAAGATGGGGCACCCGCGTACTAGGAGGTAGTGGATATATGGGTCCTAAAGAGGGGATATAGAATTGTAACTGTGCTTAAAAAATCCAGCACCACGTCATGGGAACCTACAGGTATGTATGTGCGAGTGTGTGGGCTCCAGAAAGGGTGGAGGGGACTGTATCGGTGTCGAATGTGTGAAAAAATTAAAGCTGTAATAAGGAAGTCTGTGAAATAAATGGAACTGCTGTCATGATGTTACGTTTAGGCTTTCATTTTAACCTGTGCCGAGTTTATGACAGCGACAAGCATAATGCTATGAAGGAGAGATCAACAGTTTTCTCCTGATGGATGTGTTGAAATACATAACTGCAATGTGTGTGTGTGTGTAAAAATGAACCTTTTAGTGTTATAGCAGTTGGTTCACATAATTACCACTATGTTCTAAAGTGCTGGAACACTGTGCTACAAGCTGGAAAGTCACGGGTTTGATTCCCGATGAAGTCATTCTTTTTTCTTTTTTTTCAATTTACCTAATCCTTCCAGTCGCACCATGGTCCTGGTGCCGACTCAGCCTCTGACAGACGTGAGTATCAGGAATCTTCCTGGGGCTACAGGGCGCCGGCCAATGCGCAAGGCTAACAACCTTATCGTCATCTGTGAGCCTCGACGTCTCACAACCCTGTGGGCCTCCATGGCTGCGTTACAGGGATAGCTTTACCTTTTATGCTCTAAAGTGTTGGTGCAACGTAAGAAAATCTTACCCGTGGAAATTATAAACACATGACTTCACGGTTCCACATTTCTTTGTCCTGTAAATGTTTCTAGCTCTCGTATGGAACGGTATGAGACACCTATGGTCAGATTGAGACATCTAAATTATGTATGTGTGCCACGACCCCATAGTCTGAGACAACCACAAGCAGTTAGAGATGCTTATGTACACATATACATACAATGAGTGCTGCCGGGATGGTTTCCGAGTGGTTGCAGTCGGCTTTCCTTTTGGAGGAAAATTTGCTTACAATCTTAAGTTTAAGCTGCTTTTATGTATTGATCGCCCTAGAATTTTGAGGCTAGAAGAATAATTTGTATGTACTATTATTTTTTTAATAATATTTGGTATATTTATTTCTTTCCTTCATAATTTATGTTTTTCCCCCCAGATATCGAGGGATAGATAGTTGGTTTCTGCCAGCGTTCATGGAAACATAATTTACGGTCGCTGCCAGGATTTATTCTGGAGGAGGGACAGAAAATTTGCTTACAAATTCATGTTCAAGACATTTAAGGATATTTTTACTGATATCTGTAGAGTTGGGGAGCTCTGCATTGAAACACAGATGGCAGCACAAACGGTGCTGTTGATCCTCCCGTAGGGTAAGAGCTCTCAGTTGGAAGGCTGCAACAGCCTAGCAAGAGACAATGAGTAGCTTCTTTGGTTTTACTCTTTCTCTTTCTTATTGGTTATTTGTGACAGCTGCTGCGTGTTATGCACTTCTTGCATCGTAGCTTTCGTCGAGTTACAAAGAGTACGTATTTCAGTATGTATATTCAATGTTGAATTTAAAATATAAATCTTTTTGCTTCTGATGACAAGAATGATTATCTGATATTTCGGGAAGTCCCATATGCCAATCGTTGTTACCAGGGAACGATTGTGTGCAGGTGTACCAACTGAAGCTACACTGGTTATGTCATCCTAATGAACCCAGCAAATTACTAGATATTTGTGGTTAGGATGGCAGAGAAGACTGGGGCTAGTTATTAAATTCAAATTTGAAAAGACCTTACGCAACCAAACCTGTCCGACAATGCAAACGGGTAATGTTGATCTGCCCAGAAAAATGAAGTGAAATACCTGGGCATGCATCTCGATAGAAGACTGACATGGGCAAAGCACATCAAAACCAAAAGAAAATAGCTCCACATAAAAGCGAAACAAATGCACTGGCTACGCGGAAGGAGATCAACACTATCAATAGAAAGCAAACTCCTCCTATACAAAGCAGTACTTAAACTCATATGGACCTATGGAATTCAGCTATGGGGTACAGACTCCAATTCCAACATCGAAATCCTCCAGCGCTTTCAATCCAAGACTCTCCGATCCATTCTGAACGCACCTTGGTATATCAACAACCACAAGATCCATGAAGATCTACAAATGAACACGAGCATTGACATGATACCTAAGTGAACAAAAAAGTTACGCCACTGGGCATAACTCATTAACGAGCCAGTACTTAAAATTAAAGTAAGTAAAGGTATCCCTGTAACAGGCCGTGGAGGCCCATAGGGTTGTGAGATGTTGAGGTTCCGGCATTTTCTAGACAATCGGCTCACCGATGGCGGCAAGGTTGTGAGCCCTACGCACCGGCCGCGCTTTACCCCCAAGAATATTCCTGGTACTCATTTCTGTTAGAGGCTGAGTCGACCCGAGGGCCATAGTACGGCCGGAAGAACTGGGTCGATTGAAAAATATCCAATGACCTCATCGAGAATTTGAACCCGCGACCTTCCGGCTTGTAGCATAGTGCCTCAACCAACTACGCTACCGCGTGCCTCCTCATTGAACACATATATTTATAGCAGACTCTGTATATTATGTACAATAAACGTGTGATAAAAAATATTAAAAAAGCGGCCAGTTACTAGACGGAAGCCACGCTGAGCCTTTGTTTGCGCCTACTCGATATACGCTCTACAGTTGGTCGTCTTGTGTTCGTGGAAGAAAGCGTGGTTTCCTTGCCTTCGAGAAATTTTTCCATTCCTTGGTTTTTTATTTATAACAGCGAGTTAATCTAAGTTTGTCGGAAGAATTTTTTGGCATCTGAAAAACTGAAATCCGGGTAGTTTATTATCATATTTTCAGCTTTTTATAACGTGTATTTGATCTTGTAATAGTTCACTTATGAAACAAAACGGGCTAACAAGGAGTTAAATCGTTACGATTAACTGGGAGTCAGTTTTACAGTGTACAAATTCGCTCCGCTGTAGCATTTCCTTCTGACTTGGTACAGAAGGAAAGTATGGGAGCGTATAAGAGGCAAAACGAAAACGACGCCGTAAGAACCGTGCATGGGGACGGCAAGAATAAGTTCTGGCTAAAGATCGCAATATAAGAAAAGCATCAGCTTAATTTTATGGCGCTACAGAGATTTTCCGAAAGAAAGAAGGCAGTGGAAGTAAATTTTATACAAAACAATTTTATAATTTATTTTAGAACTGATAATTAACCTTTATCGTATGGGAGTTGAGTCCGTGCTGTAGAAGCCGAAGACCCGATTCAAATGACGGATTTAACTAAAACTGTTTCCCCTTCAACAATGAAAGGCCGCATTATCTATAGTGATAACGAAAATCATATTTCTTTTTGCATTTCATAACCACAAATGCGTTCCGAGCTATGCAGTAGTCGCATATCAAATCATCTTGACCGCCTCCCGCTCACTCATAGGTACTGAACACATGAATCTCGTGTGAGTCAATGATTTGCGCCAGGCCTCTATTGCAAGCGCTTCGAATGTTCTTTATATTTCGAAGATAGCGACATGATAGCAACACGTACAAAAATTATATTGTCTCATGTAGAGGTGACTATTAAGAGGGGTTTGGATTGGATGATTGGATTTATTGCACCTGATACATTCACACAGTTCGGGACTACAGGTGATACAGCGCTATCGCTATTCGACACACTTTACAGTTCACCGTTGCACACAAAATAGAGTCTTCAGTCTTCACTAGTCGTATCCTGGCAACGGATTTATAACAGACTCACTGTAACTTCATCTCACACATGAAGTCTTCTTGTCGCTGTCTAATTCCTTTCTTGCCATTATCCTGCACCTGCCACTCACACATGAAGTCTTCTTGTCGCAGTCTAATTCCTTTCTTGCCATTATCCTGCACCTGCCAGTTCCGAAGACTCGACCCCATCTTCTCCCGACTGCTCTACTTCTGCCCTGCTTCTGTCCTGAGACAGTAAAATATGGTCGCGAGTCCAAGGGACTCG